AGCTGACTGAAGCCTTCTGGTTTGCTGCGGATGTGTTCCAGGCAGGGCTCCAGAAACGGCCGGCGCCTCGCAGCGGATGACACGTGTCAGGCTCCAAGATGAAGAGCGGGAGCACAGCGTCGAATCCGCCCTGCGCCGCATAGAACAAGGCCGGATTGTCCTGGAGAACAAGACAGCTTCAACCTGCCTGGGCTTCCACGGACGTGTGAGGACAACAGCGATGAGGCGATCAGCTTCACTAATTTGGCCGCCTCATAGCCATGGCAAGGATCAAATCGCACTTTGCCGGTACTGCTCATGCCAGCTACATTTTCGGGACATCCTTGCACTTTTACACTGCAGCCAAGAGGACCACAGCTTCTTTGTGCAGTTTTTCCGCAAGAATCATGGGGTTCGAATGCTCACCGTGGGAGGTTTGGAAAAGATCCTAGCAGATTTTCAGGTTTCGTGATTCCACGCCTGTACCTCGACCCATGATCCCCGGACCTCGCTCAAATGTTTTGTGAAATGTCCTCAAGGCGCATATCGTCCCGCAGCCAGACGATGCAAAGACTTTTCACCTGGACCCGCAGGAACTGTGGACACGACTCATTTTTCAACAAACCGCTGGTCCCGGGCCTTGCAAACCGCTGAGTTCAAGCTTGCCGGTCGGCTTGGGGTGGGAACGGGAACGGCCGACGGTGTGGGCTTGCGCTCCTGGGCCATGTGATTTCCACACTTCCGGGCGCGTCGTCCGTTTGCCATCCCTTGGCCCGCGAGCCCAAGTCCTCGAGATGTGGATATCCAGCAGTGGCACGCAACGCGTCATCGGGCAGTTGGGCAGGAGCTGTGCCCTGCAAGGCTTGAAAGGCAACAGACAAGGCAGGAAGGATCCAGGCCTCCGTCACGACACCGGCTGCACATCGCCAGCGCGATCGGCGAGGCAAGACAGGCTCGGCATCTGGCTCTGGCTTGGCGGCTGCTGCCGGCGCGGCTGCCGTGGACGGCGCCACACGCTCCACGCAGACCATTCGCTGGCCTTCTGCATCTGGATCGGCACGGGAGGATTTCGAGAGGCCGGGAAGGCGATGGGCCAGGGAGTGCACCAATGCCCTGTCTTCCTCAGGCTCGCAAATCTGCGGCAAAATCTCGCAACATCGGAATCCATAGAGGAATCCTGAATCTTCTTTCGTCACACAGCGCGCCTTGCCAAGGCCTCGAAAGGAAATCCGGGAGCCCACCGTGAGCCCCTCCAGGAGTTGTGTCACCGTCTCTTCGCTCGCGCCATCTGGCAGATCCTTGGCCCATTGGCTGTGAACTTCCAATTCTCCGCCAGAGCTGTAGGTGTGTATACCAAGTCTACTGATTCCTTCATGCAGAGCGAGGCTCGGCAGATGGCCAAGTTCCGTTGGCCTCGTGCACACCTGCGGCAGACGCGGTCCAGCCCAGACGCTCCTGGAGAAGCTTCTACAAGGCTCGACTTTTTGCTGCTCCCACTTAGGCTGCGCTGAGACTACAAGAAGAGCCACTCCCGAACTGGCTGCAACAAGAAGACTGGCGAAAGGGACTGGCACAGAAGCTGTTCTTCAGTGCAGGCCGGATCTCCTTGCGTTGCCGCCTTGCCTCCTCCAGATACTTGCCTGCAGGGTCCTCAGAATTCTATTGGAGTTTCATGGAGCAACAGCAAACGAGTCGAGCTCGTGTCACGGTCCTTTTCTAAAGCTCCAAGCTCCTTCCCGTAGCGTCCCATGGCGAAAAGACCAGGCGGGCCTTCTTGTTTGAACCAAACGCAGAGGAAACGCATGTCGGAACCAAGAGAGCCAAAGCTCCAGGTCGCGACTGCTTTGCAACTTTTACAGCGAGCACAGCAAGGCTACACACCGAAATTTCCTCCACGGTCACATTGAAGAGGGGAGCCTGGAAAAAACGTCAGGCTTTGCTTGCAGCAGACAGGAACGGGGCAGAGCTGTGGGCCTCAACAGCATCATTATTCCCGGACTCAAATCCAGAGGATGCCATGGCGGCACAACTTGGAAAAGTCTCGAAGCTGCGATGTGGTGGTTCGATGCTGTTCCTGTGCCCTACGTTCCGGCGTGCAACGACCTCCTGAAGAATGAAGCAGCGTGCATTCATTGCATGTCCATCTTTATCGTCGTACCTGTCACCTTTGTGACGAACGAAGCAATGACAGGCACACTCATAAGATCTCGGAAGCCAAGAAAAAAGTTGCCGGCTCGAGGGTACCGGTCTCCCCACCTTATTGCCGAAGAGGACATACGTGGTCGTGCCCCGTGGGCCTGGAGGGATCCAGCTTGGAAAACTGCACGATTGACAGATGTCCGGCCCTGGAGCTAAGTATGCGACAACTGTCAAAAAGCCTCAGATCATCAGAGAATGACGACGCCAAGACGGTCCCTTCCCCGGCTTAGCCGTCCAGTGTTCCCTCTTCGTCAATGTATCAGACTGGAGTCAAGTTGGGGCGGATATTCTTCGAAAACATGGAGGTGATACGAGCTACGATGTTTCACAGCTGAGGCTAAGAGCTTGCTTTGAGGACCCAGCGAAAGTGCGCCTTCACTTCGAAGAGGCCCAAGTGCTCCATTCTCTCGTGAGCTTATTTTGAACCGGAGGAAATTTGCGGACTTCTCGAAGCTCGGGATGCCCCCAGGCCCACCGGTTTTCCAAGTTTCGAGAAAAACGCTGCGGCAAAAGGGGTTTCACTGCTTCCCAGATCTTTCTCCACGAGCTCTGTGTTGGACGAAGGTGAGACAGACAGGGTCTGGTTCGACCCACACCATATGCAGACACGAACTGGCTGCGGGTCTGCTGCCTTCCTCAACCAGTGACATGTCCGGAAGGTTTGCCTGCTGGTTGGGGAAGCTGCCCAGCAATGCTGCATCTTCCCCGCAGGAATCTGACAAGGGGAAGTGTCGGAGGAGTATCCGAAGGGCTTGCCTGGTTGCGGAGGAGCAAATACCCAGCAATGCCACAAGATCCTCCTCTCAGGAAGATGACAAAGGAAGTGCCGGAAGGATAGCCGGCGGCCATGCCTACTAGTTGAGGAACAAGTAGTTGGCAGGGTCCTCGCTGGCATCGAACAAAGAAATCTCCTGAGACGATCGGAAAAGTAACCGGAAGGCTTGCTCAGTAGCTGAGGAACAGCTACGCACGAACATGGCCGGGTCTTCCTCTCAGGTATCTGACAGGGTGAATGTCGGAAAGGTACTCAGAGGGTTTGCCTACTAGCTGAGGAACAGCTAGTTGGCAGGATCCTCCTTTCAGAAATCTGATGAAGGAAAGTCGCACAAGGAGCCGGAGAGCTTGCCTGATGCTCAAAAGCGGGTACAGAGCAACGTAACAGGATTCTCCTCGCTGGCATCGAACACAAGAAATTCCCGCGCGGATCGGAAAAGCAAGCCGAAGTCTAGGGCTGGCGAAATAGCTGAAGAGCAGCAATGCCTGCCAACATGGCAAGGTCTTCCTTTCAGGTATCTGCCAAGGTGAATGTCGGAAAGGTGGCCGGAGGGTTTGCCTGCTAGTTGAGGAACAACTAGTTGGCAGGATCCTCCTTTCAGAAATCTGATAAAGGAAATGTTGCGCAAGAAGCCGGGGAACTTGCCTGATGCTCAAAGGCGGCTACAGAGCAACGTGACAGGATCTTCTTTCCTGGCATCGAACCAAAGGAAGTGTCGGAGAGGGAGGTGTGTGACAAGGTGAACGGAAAGGTTGCCGAAGGACTTGCCCGCAGCAGGATGTTCCTTTCAAGAACCTGACAAAGGGAAATGTTGCACAAGTAATCGGTTGAAAGACAGTGAACCATACCCGGCAATGTAATGTCGGAGAGGAAGCCAGATGGCCAACCTGCAAAGCTGAGGAACAGCTATTCGGCAATTTAGCATGGTCTTCGTTTCAGGACTTTGATCAGGGAAGTGTCGTAAAGGTAGCCGGAAGGCTTGGCTGCTAGCTGAGGAACAGCTGCCCGGCAATGGGATCTTGCTTGCAGGAATCGGAAAGGTAGATGGAAGTTTTTTGAAGGCTTGCCAGTTGGACATTTCACACTGTCGCGGAGGTAGCTGGTGAGCTTGCCCGCTGGCTGGGGGACAGCTAGCGGCACTGCGACAGCATCTTGATCTGGCACGGGAAGTGTCGGAGAAGTGGCCGGAAGGGCTTGCCTGCCAGCTGAGGAACAGCTTCCTGGCAATGCCGCAAGATGCCCCTCTCAGAAGGCGTCGGAGCGGTAGGCCACGGGATTGCTTGCTAGCCGCGAGAAGCGACCTGACAAGGTGCGACCTCTTCCCCTCAGGATTCTGACACGGGCACGTGTCGGATAAGTAGGCGGGGGCTTTGCGTGCCAGTTGTGGGTCAGATCCCCGGAAATGCAAACGCGATCTTCCTTTCGGCAACCTGACAAAGGGGGAGTGTCGGCTGCTACTCGGCAATGATGCACAATCTTCCTCTCAGCAACCTGACAAGGCAAGCGTCGGAGATTTAGCCGGAAGGCTTGTCTGCTGGCTGAGGAACAGCTACCGGACAATGCTTCAGAAATCTCATAAGGGAAGCCGCCGAGGTAAGTCTGCTAGCTGAGGAACAGCTACTCCGCAACGCGACAGGTTCTTCCGGTGTGAAGTGTTGGAAGAGTAGCTGGGGCCTCGTGTATGAGGCACAGTGTTTCTGCACAGCCTGCACCAAGATAGCGGCTCGGAGAAGGCACACATGGAGGCTGGGGCATAGCTGTGGACAGCAAGAAGGACAGCTGTTGCAACACTCGCCTGTTGGTCATAGCAGTTTTTTTCCTGCTGAGAGGTGGGAATGAGCATCACCGGCAGCTCGGAAAGCATGCTGCATCGGATTTGGCGAAGTTCTCCTCCTCCAGTCTCTGCACCTCAATCATTCGAGAAATCTGGCCTGCTTCCAAGAGACAGAGACACAGTCGCTTGAGCTTGAACAATGATAACCACAAAACCCCTAGCCACTGAAGCCTCAACCCATGATCGGCAAGAACTGCTTGCTGAGTCCCGCGCTCGTGCAGGAACTTGTTGTCGTAAGTTCCGTGAGTCTGCCCTGGACAGTTCCGACACAAGAATGACCCTGCATCATCCGGCCCAGTCCCCTACCACTGGATCCCCACACGCAGGAGAACTTCTAAGCCCCCAGATTCTGAGCCCTAGAGCCCGGAATCCTAAAGGTATCAGCCAAAAACCCTCACCACAACCAAAAACTTGTGAAACCACCCTCTCAAACTCCAAGGCAAGCACCGTCTGGTCCAAAGAGCCGGCAGAAGCAGAAGTTCGTGGTCTGGACGCGGTCAGTCCAGCCACTGGGCCTTGAAATGGTATTGAGGTCATGTTAATCGGTCGTCATCACCATCATCATCACCGTAATGATCATCGCCGTCATCATGATCATCGAAGCATCACCATCGTCATCATGATACTGAGCAACCTTCAAACGTTAGCAAAATACAGCCACACAGGAACTGAACTTGAATGTATATCATCCTCGAGCAAGCAGAGGCTGAGCCCAGACCTCCCAAACACAAAGCGCCGAAACCAATCCGCAACTACTCCTAATGAGTTATAGGCTGTGAGGTCTGGGGTCAGCCTCTGCTTGCTCCTCGTAGACCCGTCTCTGTGGGCTCGGAAAGGAATCCATGCCATCCCAAGGCCACGGCAGATTCGAAGCCCATCCTGTCCTCAGCTGGAGCCCGTGTCCAAGCCTCTGTTCTTGAGGACTTATCGATGCAAAAAAACATAGCATTCCGTATGCGGCTGAACCTTGGGTTGCGAATCCTGCAACCGGACCACTCCTGAACCCAGAGGTAGACTCAACCTGCTTACCCAAGTTTACCGCCAAAACAGGTCAGGTAAGCACTCAGCCACTACTCATAATCCGAAGCCCACCATCAAGGAGAAAAGAAACGTTCAACGGATGCTGGCGAGAGTCGCATTGTTCAGATGCAACCAAGCCAGGCACCACCGCTTCTGCCTGCCGGCAGTTCTTCAAGGGACATATCGGGATCGCCCTACTGGTACAGAATACACGAGGTTGATGTGTCCTATGTGGTGCCTCACGATCATCCTCGACATGAGCATGCTGGCGCATCTGCGGCTTACTCTCCAGGCACCACTCCGACTGACTGCAGCAAAATCTGTGCATGGGCCGGCCCTCATCAGCCCTGCAGCACAGACCTCAAGAAGTCGTAGACGTCTTGACGGTACCAGCTGCCGTCACGAAAGTCCACGATATGGCGGGCCTCGCCAAGAGTCTTTGGTGGAGGCTTCAGGCTGTTTAGCGCTCCATGCCTTCGCTATGCCGCTGCCCTCCTGGCTCAGGAACTCCACGAGCCTCTCGAACCTGAGAGCGGCTTCGTGAAGCGACGAAAGAAGTTTTAAGTACAGGCCTTTGGTACAGTTCGTCACTGTAGACGAAGCTTGGAGGAAACCTGCCACAAACACAGGAGATAACCTCTGGCTCCGCGATGCGCAGTGGTGCTAAGAGCCCAACTGCCACAAGAAGGCGACAGTGGCGGGTGCCAGGTATTGGTACTTTTCCTTGGGCACGGGTTAGGTTCTCAGCAGGCCCCAAGCAAGCGAGACATCCGCGAGGGCAAGAGACAGAGGGCTGCAGCTGAAGCACCCAACATATACCAGAGCATACCACAATACATACAAAAGTCAATCATGCTCATGAGCACCTGTCCCTGCACATTTCCCTCGGACAGGAGGCATCGCTCACGTGCGACTAACGTGCGACTGGAACCAGCCCGATAGCTGCCAGGACGGCAACGAGCGTCGCACAGAAAACTTCTCTTTGAAGGCAGCGCGTCACACTGCCCTATTAATGTGGTGATCTGGATCCTGCCTGAAGCCTGCTGAGGCAAGGAAGAGGCCCTGAATGCTACAACAGAAAAATCCATCCGTACGTCCGCTGGCTTGTTATAGGATCCATATCAACCTTGCATGGCATGCACCGTATAATATAGAATGATTCAAACGCAAAGGACGCATGCCCTGTGGACTCGTCAACCCACGCGAAATCTGGACAACCGGCACACACCCTTGGTAAGCTTTGTCCACATTTCGTGGGCTGCTTCTCCCAACTCGAAATTGGCAGAGCCAGCCGGGCAGGGCCGCTCGTAGGAAAATCAACCCTCTATGCCATGCTCGGCTGTGCGAGGATGTGCCATGGTGATGGTTCGGGAGGAGGTTCATGAGTTCATGAAGCCAGTTCACAAAAGCAGGAGTGCTGTTGCATGCAGTTTCGGGTCTTTTCGGTGCTCGGCATGATGATACCTACGACCTATGTTCTACATCCTACACCGATAGCTGAGCTTTGCCAGCACAAGAATGTCGGTGCTACAGAAAGCTAAATGCGAGAGCTCCAGGTCAGCAGCCGATCCGCTGGGATCACATTGTGCTGCAAAGAACATACCTGAGGATTGAGCCCAACTCTGACATCCAAAATCAGGAGGACCGAGATGGCAACAGGTCTTGATCTGAAGCTTAAGTGCACATTGTTACAGGCAAACAAATCTGGCTGAAGGCCAGACCGTAGATATTTGATACTGAGACTTAGTGTGCGTGTGACGTCGAACATGCAAGGCCCTGACTCCTGCACAGGCGGAACATGAAGTCGACTGCTGCCGTCCGGAAGCACGTCGAAAGTCGCACCTCGCTTCCTGAGCTGTGCTGGCTACCCCGGACTGATTTCAGGTTCTCAAACTGACAGCTAGCCGCCAAACCTCCATCAAAAACACACCGAGGCGAAACTGGGCCACTAGCTGAAGTTCGGAGAGTGCGCAGAAGTACCTCAGCTCGCTTCATAAAAAGATGCAAATTGCGTGGTCCAGCATTTCGCGTCCAAGCTGCAGGTCGCTATCGCTGCGATTGGCTCTCCTGCAATTGGAGGGAGTGCGACTGCAGCACTTCCCCGGCCTCCCGAAGCCTCATGCAGGAACACAGCGTCAGGCAGGTGCAGCAGTCACCTGGCCAAGGCACTGCAGAAGCATCTCATCTACGTTCCTGTACCTTTTTGCCGAGATGCAGGTGCAGCGCGCCATGCCAATCGCTGAAACGATAAGGACCTCGACTCGATCAGGTCACCAACAATGCCGGCAGCAGGTGCATGCCATCTGGATCACAAAATCCGAGCAAAGTATTGCCCAGCGTGTGGGCCCAGTTGGGACTCTGTGGATGCCTGGCTACTAGCCTGAGCTGCGAACTACAAGGCTCAGAGCTGCCACACCTGAGGCAGGGAGTGAGCGAGGTTTTTGTTCTCCCTCTCTCTCTCGCTCTCTGGCTTTCGCCAGGGCTGGGGTGCATGGGAGTTGCCCTCCACACCCACCCTCTCTCTCTTTCTTTCGGAAGGGATATGGGCAAAGGGGAAATCCCCCTGCCGGCTCTCTCTTTCTCTCTCTCTTGCTTGCTTGCTTGCACGGCCTGTGGGCTAGGGGTCCCAAGACCCTTCGCCCTGCACTCTCGCGCTACACCAAGTCCACGTCCGGTGTGTCGTTGTGAAACTGTTGAGAGTTCGGCACCATCTGTGTCCCGGTGAAGCCCCAACCTTAAAAGTTTCTCCCCGCTCTCCCCGTCCAAGCCTAGGAGATCTCGTTGGTGCCGGACTCCTCTTTTTGCTGTGGCCCACTGTCCCCGGTCATTGCCGGGACTACTGAGCTGTGGGTTCTCGGTGCTGACAAACACAACATCTGGCAGTGTGCTTGCGTGTTGCCAGCGCGGGTCCCCGTGGGTGCGGGAAGCATGGGACTAGGGTAAGGGCAAGTAGGGTATGTCAGACACTGTAGGGTCCCTGCGCTGGTTGGTGGTGGTGCTGCTGTGGGCCGGTGCGGTGGTCCCAGGGTCAGGAAGCAGCACGGGGTTCCTGCTGTTGGTTATGGTGACTGTTGAGGTGTGCTGAGTTGACTTATGCAGCAGTGGAATAACCGTGGAATTGACACACACAAGAACAGGTGCGAAGGCAAAAACTGAAACCCCTAATCAGTGATTCGCTCTCACGTTTTGGCTCCGGATGGAATCTGCACACGAGAATTGTCGCAGCTGGAATGGTCCTTCAGCTGGAGGAAAACAAAGCTATGCCCTGGGAGGGTGGGTGGGTTCTTGAACCACAACATCGGAAGCCGAGTTCAACTCATCACTATTTCCAGTGATTCGCTCTCACGTTTTGGCTCCGGATGGAATCTGCACACGAGAATTGTCGCAGCTGGAATGGTCCTTCAGCTGGAGGAAAACAAAGCTATGCCCATGCCTCCCAAAGTTACCCTTCTCGTGCAGATAAATCTCCAGGCCATAGCCGAAACCACGCATTGTTCGGGACGTAGTCCTTGTACCACTGTACGGCCTGGGCGAGGACGACAGAAAAGCCTGCAGCGACCCCGAAAATCCTCTCCTTCTGTCGCTGGGGAAGAGAAGGGAGGAATGTCGAGGCCGTGATCTCTTGCAGGTAAATTTCCATGACCTTGGCCGAGGCCCATCTGCCACGTCGTCTGACCAGCTCTGAATCCTCCGTCTGCTGCAACATATAAGTTGCCCCTCCCGCCCGAAACGACCCGAGATCTAGGGCCCGTACTGAAGGCGGAGGAGGGGAGGCACCAACTCTATGAAGCGCAAGATCAAAACGTTTTCTGAGCGTCTGCGGAGACATTGGCCAGAGCTTCTCATCTCTCTTTAACCTAGCGAAGGCGAGGGATATGACCTTGATGAGATCAACCGCCTCGACCTTCGCTGCTTGATGCTTCGCCCCACGACCACGAGTCTTAGGCTCCTCAATCTGAACCAGAATAAAATGCTGCGAGTAGGCAACGTCCTCGGGCAGAATCAGGTTCCTCCGCCTGGTCTTGAGGACTTCTCCAATCCTCATGACTCCACCGAAAGCCAACGCAAAACATCCAGCTTCTCTGGTCCACCCCCAGAGCAAACAAGCCGTGATCGTGGCTATCAGTACCGCAGGCGGGATCGCGGTGTGGTGGCTGTAGGGCTCGTCGGCAACCCAAGCGAAACCTAGATCCCAAGCTGCCTGAACCTGTCTTCGCAGCACTGGCTTCAGGGAAGTGACAGAATTTATAGTCTCTGAGTAATGCCAATATGGCCTCCCAGATCCATACAAATCCCTCCCGTACCTGACAAGTGCCTCAGAGATAATCTCCGCGTCCAGGGGCTTTCGATCCAGGAGGGTCTGGAGGTCGAGACCCATGACTTCCAGCATCCATTGCGAGAAAGCTGCTACAAGAGAAGCCCTGTACGACCCAGTCCTAGGAAGAACAACCCTGCCAACAGGGAGACCTGCCGGGATCCTTCGCTCCTGCCTAGCCCGGTCGGCAGCATTCCTGGGCCCAAGGAGGGCGGCTGGAAATCCATGAAGGAGGAGAGTGGCGGCGAGGATGAAAAGGAGGGCACGCGGGCCTTCGCCCGGGAAGCCGAGGGTCGAGTCGAAATCAACCTTTGCACCTCCGCCACGTCTGGGGACGGCAGAAGAGGGGCCACGAGGTAAAACGAAGCCCAAGTCTAGAGCTTTCTTGCGCACTTTTAGAGGAAGGCTCCAGGGCTCACGGACACAGTAGGCGACAGCGACTTCCCTCGTGCCCTTCCAGTCACACGTCATGTGAGTGCTAGACAGGCGCGTCTGCAACCTTGAGCCTCTCACCTAAGAGAACTTTGCCTCCGACTTCTGCCTCGCAATCTTCTTTGCCGCCTTCGACCCAGATGTCTCCTCCCTCAAAAGAAGACACCGCGAACACGAGGCTCGCACTGCCCCGTAAGTTGTTCCGATCTTTGTGCGGCAGTGACTTCAGGTCTCGCAGGAGCGAGATCGAAGAGAAGGCGAAGGAGGGATCGATGGCTCTCACAACCATGCAAGCGAGGCGGGTTGCAGTGGGGAACTTCTCAGCAGCGGACCTCACACCTTTAAAGGGGCCTTGAGAGTACAGGCCCGAGGTCCAAACCTTGACCTGACCTTGGTGCTCAAACCTGACTTTACCTGCGGCTGGGAGAAGCTCAAGGAGCCCACTTAACACCGAAGGTTGGAAGAGGCCCTGCTGCAGTGCCTTTGCAGCGAACTCTTCAGCAGCACAGCCAGGAAGCGGCAACGGGTCATACAGGTGCAGGGGAACAACACTTGGGCATGCCCTGGAAGGGAAGTCATCGATAGCCTGAACCAGCAACTTCCTATGCTGAGGGCGGCTGACGAGAAGGACCAACCGGAACCAGTTTGCTCTCGGCTTGGAGAGCCCAGGAAGGTTGCACAGCTGAGCCCAGGCTTCTTCATCGAGATCTTCGACGAGTGAAGAGGGGCAGGGAGTCCTCAGGGGGACCTGCCTTGTTGCATCGTCTGAGGCATTGAGCCTAGTAGGCCCAAAGACAAAAGCCGGGTAGAGCCCACCACCAATGGTCAAGGAGGCGGCCCTACGGAGGCTAGGTCGAAGGAGCTTCGCAGACGACCTCCCTTTTGCGAGTGCTTCCCTGGCGCAGGAACTGTCTAGCACAAGGACAGAGCGGCAATCCCCACCCTTTCTCACAAGTTCACGTAAGACAGAGACACCTGCCTCAGCTTCAAGAGCATTTATGTGCCGCTGCTTTTCCCACGCCCAAACACTATCGACCTTCCAGGAACCCGTGATGAGGACATCGTTGGTTACAACATTCTCAAAACCCGGTGAAGGTAGCGGGTCCTGGGGCTGGCCTGTAAGCTCAAAGAGGCATTGTGCAACACCAAATGCCGACAGGCCGGCGAGGGAACGGCTCCGACTGAACTCCTTGGGCGGCGGGCCCACAGTAAACAGAATTCCAGGATGGCAAGCGGGGTCCTGAGGGCTCTCATTTGATCCGGGGGTACCCGGCTGCAGAAGCCTGACACCTTCAACCTTCAGCAGGCTCTGCGCCTCAGGGAGGGAGAAAAGGCCGGAAGAGGCTGGCGCGAGGAGGAGTGCCGGTCGGCCTGCTCGAACAGCAATCCGGAAAAAGCTTACGACCTTCAAGGCGAGCGACTTTCTCCCAGCCTTCCGGCTTGGCTTCAAGTTCCCACGCTCGTTCCAGGTTCCAGAAGGAAGCACAGCAACAAACGACCTGGCTCTTGCACTCCACAGCAAGTGGGAAATCCATCCACCAACGGCGGGTGAGAACAGGTCATACTCCCCGGAGTGCTTCGTGTCTATAACAGGAGAGGCTTTTGCGCCGAGCTCGAGACAGGCCTGGGCTATACTAGCTGAGCCCTCAAGGAGGCAGAGGACATCAAAGTCAAAGGCACTTGGCTTTGTGAGCAGGCCTTCACCGAGGGGGTCCTCAAGGGCTGCTGGGTCGCCAGCCACACAGGCGGTCTTCGGCGAGCTAAGCATTGTGTAGCTCCCCTTCCTGTCAGCGGAGAGCCAGACCGACGCAGTGAGCTCCGGGGGCTGAGAGCAAGAGCAGAAAGCTCCGTGGGTGGACGACGAGTCCGAACAGAAAATTGTGGGAGAAAACTCGGCGGATACGTTGGACGACACCACCGGTGCAAGCGACGCAAGGAGAACAAGCTCCTGAGCGTCCTTCCTAGAGAGGGGGCGAAGGCGGCTCCCTGCGGTCCCGGCGGATTCGGCTTTTCCTAAGGCAAAGAAGCCATCGAGCACGGAAAAGAGGCACCGCCGGAACATGAGGGCAGCTATCCACGAGCCAGCCAGGTTCGAGGCTAACTCCTCAGAGATGGAGCAAAGGGCTGCTGTCTTGAGGCTGATCACAGACAACGCCAAGAGCTTGCCTGTCGGCGCAGAAACCAGCACATTCCCGTAGGACCTCGTAAGTGCAGAGGAGTCGATCTGCGCGCCAGCGGCTTGGAAGACCTCGGCCCCTAGCACATCCTTGTGATCGGAACCTTTGACCTGAGCGGACTTGTAGACCTCTTTTGCTCGGAGAACCCGACGGGTCGCCTCAGAGTGAGCGGGAGGAGTGGAGGCCTTCTCAGCAGAAACGACGAAATAATCGTCTATCACGAGGGCCTCCCAGGGGCCGAGCCTGCTCGGGGGCCTCTTCGCAAGGAGCCTGTGTTTGCTGGACAAAAGAGAAGCCTGCTGCAGCAACTCGGAGTGCCCTTCCGTAGCGAACTCTACTCCCAAATGGTCACCCTGGTACAGTGACCTGAATGCTCCAAAAACAAAAGCCCCAGGGTCGAAGAGAAGAGAAGGAGGGACCGATGGCGAACACAACCTTGCACGCGAGAGCTCAACCTGAAGCTCGCTCTCGGGCTGACCTGTGGCCTTCCAGTCTTCAACGATCCTGCGAGCTCGGCTCAGGGCCTCAGTGCCTTCTAGATCAGCGACGGTGAACCTTGGCCCCACGGCGTTACATTCAGCTCGGGCCGAGCTTATCAAAGCCTGGTGATAGAAGTCGGCTCTATCAGTCGAAGCACCGATCGCACAGAACCCCGGCGGGATTGTCAGTGCCGTGAGCATGTGACCTGGCGGTAGCGTCTTTGAGGGTCCGGACAACCGCCCCTCCAGACTGTTGCCCCCTCGGCGGTCTCCTATCTGGCGGTCAGCCTCATCATTCTTGTAGGCGGAGAAGACTCGCGTAAGCTCGCGGTCACGCTTCGGCTCAAAAGCGAGGAAGAGGAGGCCCCTGCTATCCCAGAGCTTAAGGAGCTGCTTAGTCCTCAAGGGGTCCTCCTTCGAAGTGTCAGGGAAGGGCAAGTCGTTTGAGGGGATACTCCTCAGGACCCGGGGCTCCAAGTAGGCGAGCTTAAGTTCTGGGCCCAAGAAGTTCGCCAGGGGCCAGGCTCCATCTCCAGATATTTTTAGCCGAGAGGGCTCAACGTCCCGGTAGGGTCGGAGTGCTTCAGGGCCTTCAGACGCATGAGGGATGAACCCTTGCACGTCTCTCTCTCTAGGGTAAGGCAGCGTGGAGAGCCCAACAGCAGCCAGATGCATATCGAGCTCGCGCAGCCTGGCAACAAGGTGAGGGCCACGGCGACCCGCGGCAAGGGGATGGGTCCCCTTATCACTACACGCCCAAAGCAACCCACGCAACCTTTCAAACACCTTTAGTTGCGTCGTATTTGGGTGCCTCCGCAGAGAACTCACAGGCACATGGCGCAGGTCGGAGTGAAGGTAGTTCAGGCTCATCACCACAATATGGAGAACCTTTGCGATGAGAGCCTCCTTCCTCTCGGCGGGGAGGGCCTTACCTGGAGAACCTGAGTGCGGGCTGCCAGCCAGGAAAACAGACAAATCTGGTATAGGCAGTGGATAGACGGCGGTGTCAGGAGCCGGCAAGCTCCGTTCGCGGATGCCAAAACATGTCCTCAGGAACCGAGCGTAGGCGGTCCTGGTTTGCAAAATGAGCCTAGGCAACGATGATGCCCAGCTCCAAAAATCAAACTCCGAGCAAAAACCGGGGACTCCATCAAACGGGGAACATCCGGCGCTCCAAACTGGTGCGGGGGATTAGTGCCAGGAGGGCACACTGTAGCGCGGCCGGGCGGATCGGAAGACGGTCTGGGAGGAGGGTCTTCGCCACTCTCTCCAGGAAAGGTAACCCGCCCTGTGCTGCGAGCGCACGAAGCGCAGTCGTGGTCCAGACGTGTGGCTACGGGGCCCGAAACTAGAGTACAGCCTACCGACTCAGGAGTCTCAGAGGCACTAGAAGAGGCTTCAGCGGGTGCTGGAGCACTGGAGGGCTCAATGCAGGCAGTAGCCACATCGGTGCAAACATGCGAGGCTTGCCCTCGCGCGGCGGGCCGGCCGGACCGGCTGGGTCTCACGAAGCTTCGCCTCAGCTCTTCGGCTGGGCTGCGGAGGCTTTTCGCTCCGCCCACAGTTTTGCACGCTGCTGCTTCTTGCTCAGCTGAGGCGCTGTTTTGGCAGGAGTTTCTGCCCCGGCCGTGGAGGAGGGCTGGACCCTCGGCACTTCTGCACGTCGGCTCGCCAATGTCTCCATCTCCTTCACGTAGGTCAGTGCCACGGCTACCCACTTTGGGTCTGCCAGGTGCGAGCATACTCTGACAGAGCCGGAGCTGTGCTGTGGGGAGGAGAAGACGGTGGAAGGCGGGTCCTCCTGCAAAGTGAGAATCCATCCAAGATCGGCTCGCCCAGCATCTCCTACGAGTTGGTCGATCATGACCATGGCCAGGGCCAGAATGTCCTTGGCCCCTTCGGTCTGATTCGACCCCAGCAGGTCGAAAGCCTGAGCCAGCTGCCACTGCAGCAGGCCCCACGTCCGGTGGTCTCTGTAGCCCCCGTACCTCTCGAGGTACTTTGTCATGACGGAGTGCCTCTGCGCGTCCTCCTGCAACACGGACAAGTTTGCGGTAGGCTCCATGCGGCGGAGGGCCGCCTCTTGCACTCGCCCAAAGAAAGCGCCGGTGCGGGAGTGCAGCTCCTTCTGAAGTTTCAAGCGAGCGGCCGACCCCTTCACTGAAAGGCTGGACGTGGACCCGGCACCCAGGTCCGACAGCGGGTCGCCGTTCCCGGCAAGTTGAGTGACAAGTGTGTTCAGCGCCCGGCTCTGAGCCAGCAGAGCAACGGCGATGGGTGCCCCTTCTTCGACACCTTCTCCCTCGATCGGCCTGAGGGCCTTCCTCCAGGGCACCTGCTGCTCCAAAAGGGCTCTTTGGCATGGCCGTCTTCGGGGGAGCGCCTAGCAAGTCTGCAAGCTTCCGAGGCTGAACCGGGGACGCGGCTATTGCTGCTGACACTGGAGCCGCCAACACGGGTCTCGGGGCAAACTGAACCTGCTGTGCCTGTTGGGCCTGACCTTCGGCGGCACCTGTAGCCTGGGCCTGGGGCTGGTTCGCCTTTGCAAGCAGCTGCACCTGGGAACTCAGAGCCTGGATGGCAGCCAACATGTCGTTCTGCTGGACGGCCAAAGCGGCCACAGTGGGCTTCCTCTTCTGAGGCTCCGCCTTGGCCTTTCGTCCTAGTGGGGGAGGGGCCTCCTCTGCAGCTATCAGCTCCTCGGCCGTCACGTAGCCCGCGCCCCGATCTCCTTCCAGGCCTCCCATCCAACTTATGGCGAAACCTGCCAGGCTCGTGGCGAGGGGGAACTGCATACTGGCTTCCTCTGAGAAGGGAACACATTCGCTTATGCCTTCCTCCAAGGGCTCCAGGGCTACACTGGCTGCATCTGACAGGTCGATCAAGAGCACATCCAACGACCTGGGAGGGTACACACCCATCCACTCTCCTGATTCGCTCAGCTCGACGGCCGGAGCAGAGGTCACCACGTGAGGACCTAGCACACCTGTAAAACCTTCGGCTGTAGCTTCTTGAAGGAGGCCGGCTGGGAGGTAGTTGAGCGGGACAGCCAGCAGAAAACCTCCCGGCCTCTTCAGCACGCAGTAGCAAACCGCAGGAGGACCTTCTTCTGCCCCTGGAAGGAGCAGGTAGCTCCTTAACTTCAGCAAACTGACGTCTCCAGCCTCTGCAGGCTGCACCTCTTCTGGATTCATGGTTCCAGCACGAGGGGGAAGGGCCTTCCAGCCCCTGCAACGTAAATCCTTGCCTCCGTCTCGGTGGGCCAACCGTGAGACAGGGATTTCCCACGGTGATGATCAACAAGGCGAAGGTAGGTATTGCGGTTTGTGGTAACCTGAACGTCGTTGCTCTGCTCGGTGCGGAGCACCACGTACACGCGGGAAGGCAGCTTCAGAGGTGGAGTGCAGCTCGGAGTAACGACCCGGTTATCCAACACAGCCAGGGCCCAACAGCCAGCCACCCAAGCTCGGTTGGCTCGAAAGGCGGGAGTTGCTGCCGCAGACCGGAGCAGCCGCGCAGTGTCCAGCAGGTGAGGAGGGAGCTCAGGGAAAGAGGCCTCGATTGCTGAGCGGCTCTCGGGAACACGGGGAATTAGGGTAGGCGGGTTAGGGTCCCTACCTAGATACCCCGACCGGTCGGCACCTAAACCTGAAGATGCAGCTGACGAAGCACTCGGGGCTTCGTGAGCAGGTGCAGTAGGTCCAGCAGGGACCTCAGTGACAGGAAGAGCTGAAGGGAGACCGCGGCTGCGGGTGATCGAGATCCTCAGGCCCTCAAAGTCCAAGGACAGTTGGGTGATGGCCTCAGGGTCAGGAACGGGAGTGCCCATACAAAGCCAGACGAGCAGGGCCTTGCGCAGCAGGAGCAAAAACAGTGTCCCTTGTGTGGCGGAGGTGACGAAGGTGGGAAGGAGGACAGTAGAGGGTGATGAAGATGAGGATGCCAAGCCCAATGGCACAAAGAAAGCCCAAAGCGAAGGCTAAGCCAAGCTGAGCGAACGAGGATCCTTGGCAGTAGACAGGGCACCTCAGACCCCACAAATCACTCCTCACACCCTCAGAAATCACCGAAAGGAACTCCCGAACAAGGGGCCCCCACACCATTCTTGAACCACAACATGGGAAGCCGAGTTCAACTCATCACTATTTCCACTGCACATGGCTGCATGCATGACTCTGACTCTCTCTCTCTTTGCTCTGCTTTGCTAGGGGTTTGAGGAGGCGGCAGCCCCGGCCCCCCGGCGCTCCAAGGCGCGAGCCCGTCCATCATGCTGATAGACAGAGGGTCACCTTACGATGGACTGGCTGTTCGGTGGAGAGCTACGCAAGTGAACAGGTGCTAGTATGCAGCAGGAAAACATTGTGTCCCACGCCCCCCCCCCCCGCCCCGGCGGCTCTCTCTCTTTCTCTCTTTCTTTCTTTCGGCAGGGTTGTGGGCAGGGGAAGTTCCCCTCTTTCTCTCTCTCTCTCTCTCTCTCTCTCTCTTTCTCTCGGCAGGGTTATGGGCATCTCTCTCTGTCTGTCTCTCGCTCTCTCTC